AGCCAATAAACATCTTCGGCATTAAATATAGATGCTATTTATAATTTTTGCAATTGGCTTTTTAAAACCAAAATATATATACAAGTCAATAAACATCTTCAGTATTAAATATAAATAATAAGCCTCATTAATGATTTATCGATGAGTTAAATATCTAAAATTATAGAGATAAATTTATTATTTTTATTGATAGATTCATCAAAAACAAAATTTTAGTAGTACTGTATAACCTCAAAATAACGTGCAGGGTGTAATTTCAATTTTTAGCCTAAATTAAGCTGAATTCGGGTCAAAATTCAAAACAATACCCTGTGTATTATTTTGCTGTTATACAATAATTTTTTCATAAGAGAAATAGGGATTCACTATTATTATAAAGTTTTATCAATCTAGTTTTTTTTATTTTTTTTTTTAGTGGGAGTACTAGTGTTTCATCTTTTATTAGCAAGATTTGAGGTTTTGTTTCTCATCAGGAGTGTCATCATTTTGGGGCTTAGGTTTCATCAAGCAAAAAAGGTTTTATCTAACAACTGTAGTTTTATAAAGTTAATTTGAATTTGAGTAAAACCTATTTCGAAATTCAATTTATTAGTAAAAAATTAGAGTTTATTTTAATTTTCTTTTTTTTATCTCTAGCTTAGAAAAATTGCAATTAATCGAGATTGCTTAAATAGCTTTATCATGGATCCTCATTTTCAAAGTCAACAAATTACTATCTTATTCCTTATACTAAAGGTTTTATAAAAAATAAAATTTAAAAATATCAATAGCAAATTACCAGTTTAGTACTCTTTAACATAATATCTAAGAAATATGGTTTAATAGTTGAAAGCAATAGATGTTAATAAAATTGCGAATGCTTACCATCTCTTAACCTTTATTTAATGAGAAAGCATACGAGTGCTGCTAAGAGAAAACCTGTCATCAGACTTTTAATTATATTTTGTGCACAATTAACCATCTATAGATTATGATAATTTTCCATAGACAGCTAACCATATACAAAATATAATTGAAAGTCTGATGACAGGTTTTCTCTCATATTTAATTAACTGCTTAATTTAGAACTTGATCTAATTATATACCAACTAAACATGCTACAAGATTAGCATCTACAATCTATCAAAACTATGCCATTGTATATTGTATATTTATTACAAAATCATTTAATGAAATTGATATCTAAATAATAATATTTCAAAAAAAAAAGAACTTCAAAAAAAAAAAAACACACAAGTTTGTGTAATAATAACAGATCTGAATATTATTTGATCAAATCTCTGCTTGGATTCGAATTCACAGGATATGCAAATTATGAGATTCGAAATAAATTCACAGATTGACTATTAGCATTAAGAAACACTAGAATATAAATACACAGTTCACAAAGAAATCCTATAAAAGTAGAAAAGGAAAGATCTACAATCATGCCAACCAACCAAATATGAGAGTTTGGGAATATATACCATCAAACATGGCTGTAAACCATACTCTTTGTTTCACTTCCATTAAACTCTGTTCCTGGTATACAATTTTTACTATTAATTTACATTATATGATACTTTCTTCTATTTCTATTATTAATGATTGATAGCGGAGGTAGTAGAAAGTAAATTAATAGTGAAAATTGTATTATGTAATATGTACTACCGGCTCACAACCTTTCAAACCAACCCTAATTCTAATGAGCCTAATTAAGCTGGCTCGATTCAGACACTATTTAAATATTTCAATTGCAATTAATAATTTTATTTGTATTAATTAAAAGCTTATGTGTAGTTGGTTTTTTTTTAAAATTGGTATTTAAATTATTAAAATTATTATAAACTCAACTAATTTTGACCATAATGTTAGTCATATGACATATTGCTATTACATTGTTTATTTTAACCAGTTTTTATCATAATAACTTATGCATTATTTATTACAGATAACCTATCTAGCTTTATATGTTCAATTATTTATATATTATAATCCACAATGCTACTGACTTTACAACTAGTCACTTGCATACAAAAATTTCAAAGTATGTGATTATTATGTAAATAAGTTAAAATATGCAAATTAATATTTCAAGTTATATTACCCTTCTTTTTTTTTTGTTCAAATTTGGCAATCATGCCACAACTTTATTAGACTTTGTAATAGTCATTTAGACTATTAAAATTTTAGAGAGACTTTTCAGTAAGTAATAAACTCTGAACATGTCAGCAGATAGTGTATGAGAACTATCTCTAAATGACATGTGCCATGCCCCAAGGGCCACACAACTATACCTAAATTACGAGTTGTAATTCACCCGATTACCCCAATTGGCACCTATGTGCGACCTGCTATAGTAGGTTTCTCCTCTATCCAGCCCCTCCTGAAGTTAGATATTGGCCGGCTCTCAACAGATAGTATCTACCGCCCGTTATGACTACCTCCTCTTCTTTCAAGCTTCTTCCACCTAAGCCCAACTAAATCATTAACCCTTATTCATGCATAAAAAAAAAAATTTAAAGCCATGTTTACGTAAGACCTAAACATCTTAGAAAAAAAAACCTCATGGTAGAAAAAAAAACAAAAAAAGAAACAAAATTCTTAAGTAGTCTAACATAAATTGAACAGAGATGAAAAAAACAAAAAAAGGGAAGGTAGCTATGACAGGCATCTTGGTAATAAAAATTATATAATGACTGCAACTAATTATTATATTTCGTTATAAAACGTTCGTCTTATTTTTAGGACTTGTTCTGTGCACTGACTCAACTCGGGTATCTCCTAAATGAGGGTACTGTATCCATCCCCATACCATAGTGCTGCATTTGTAAATCAACAAAACATGTGATTGCTTTCTACTGAGTCCATCCCGATTTGGTAGGAGTAAACAATGCCAATTTTTTGGAGGGGGTAAGCCAAAATGCCCACTTTTTTCAAAAATTATGGTAAGAATGACAAAAAGCGAGAGAAAGGTAAAAAAAAAACCAATAGGAGAGCACCAAAGGAGCGTGAGTTTTCTTCACTTCAATTAAACCCTCTGCCTATAACTTGCACAGTACTTACTTTTTTCAGTGAGTAATAAACTCTAAGCTTATTAGCAAGTAGCGTATGAGAACTATCTCTAAACGACAAGTGCCATGTTGCAAGGAACAGTAAGTGATAAACTCTGAAACAAGTCCGCAGATAGTGTATGAGAACTACCTCTAAATAACAAGAACTGTCCTGCAAGCCATTTTCCCATGTCTTACGATTTAAACTTCAACATTTTATTGAAGTGCCCCGACGTCTGGTGTTTTTTTTTGTAAAAAATTTTTGAGAAGTGGTGGTCCAGATAATCGTTGGAAAGAGTTTTGAGTTATATTACATTTCAAAGTCTCACTATATGCATAAAAGTAGTCAATTTCATAAAAATATAGAGCTTTGCACTTTTAACATTAAAGTTCAAAAAATTTAATATTTCAGATTTTTCTAAATTATATTATTGTTATAGGTAGTGTATAAAATCTATATGTACAATGTGCTCATGAGTACATGTTTTTAAAAGTTTTCACATGTTTTTGGCTAGAAATGTGCACGAGATTTACAATATTTTGAGCCACATAGTGCACCAAATTTATTAATAAACTTTAACTATATACACATGAAGCACATTGTGCATACAGTCTATTTTTATATATGCAAATTAAATAGATATTTATATAAAATATTTTATATTTACTTAATACTTTAATGGTTGTTTCTCTAAATTTTATTTATAATTAAATAACTTAATAAGGTAAGCTTGTTTTATTTATATTTATTACATATGTACGATATATATATATATAAATTACATTTTGTAACATTTAATTGAATCTAAATTACACATTGTTTATCTTATATAATAAACCATTCTTCATAAGTAGATTCGTGAAATTGTCATGCTAAATCATAAAAGGATAAATGTAAGCCTAATTTAAAATCTAGATAAATATACAACCAAATACAATATGACTTTATTGATAAGATGTATAGTTTAAACAGGTAAAAAATTTTATAAGATTTTATCATGCCAATCTGCCCTGTAAAAAAAATCAAACAAAACTTTTCTGTAATCTTTTCATGTATAGATTATATATTTTTTCATTTGAATTACTAAGTAATAATATCTATATTTCTTCTATAAATGTTGCATATTTATGGAATATTTATAGAGTAATTTTAATAAAATAATAGAAATTATGCAAAAACTTTACAGAATATATATAATAACACAATAAAAAATATACTAATTATGGAAATTAGTTGGAGAACTTACTCAAATTTACAGTATATGACAATAAAAGATGAATTCCTAGAAATTTCATAATACATAAATATGATAATAAAAGGAAATAATATTGGAGGCTTTACTGAATTTTTATAAACTAAATAAAAAAAAAGCTAGAACTTTTTTATAATACTCATGGAATAAATCTGAAAGTGTTATGGTAATAAAAACAATATGTATAGAATAAATACAGAACTTGCATAAAAAAAAGCTAGAATATTTATTAAATTTTTATAGTAATAAAAGTGGTATATAAATTATATCCAGGACTTGCATTATATATAGTACCCAATACTTCTTTTAATTCTTAGTCTTTTTACCGGCCTTTGCTTTATGCGAGGAAGTTTTTTTTACTTTTTGTTCTCTTTTCCTCTTTTTACCAATATAAAGAAAAAATCAAATAAATAAATTCAAAGCAATACCTCTGTGAATTATTTCACAAAAAAATAGTTATAATAATCTTATTAAGTATTAGAATCTTGTGTACCGTTTTCAAATTTTTCTGATACACTTTCAGTATTATTAAATTTTTAAATAGAAGAACAAAGACTATTTCTTAGTGATGATGACATGTTATTCTCTGGGATTATAGTATTTTGTTCTATATTTTATAATTTTAATAATACATAGATTAAATTTTTTTTTTAATAGCATTAATTGCAGATCTAAAGCTTTATATTTTACTATCGGTTTCAAGATTTTTTTCATCTTAATTGATAACCTTAGTATTAGTATTACATGTTTGCTTGAGGACTGAATTTCTTTTTTTAGACACATTTTTTACAAGAGTTGATGTGTTTTCTTGACTGGAAATATTTTTATTATTTTCTAAATTTCTAACATCTTGATCAATAACTTTAGAGTTTGTATTACATATTCACATGGGGGCCAAATTTCTTTTTTAGACATATTTTTTACAAAAGAAGAAGTGTTTTCCTGACTGGAAATATTTCTATTATTTTCAAGATTTCTAATATCATGATAATAGATAACTTTAGTATTTGTGTTATGTATAGGAGCCAAATTTTTTTTTTTAGACATATTTTTTACAAGAGAAAAAGTGTTTTTCTAACTAGAAATATTTTTATCATTTTTGAAGTTTTCAACATCTTGACTGACAACTTTAGTATTTGTGTTATGTGTTCGCATGGGGCTGAGTTACTTTTTTTTGACATATTTTTATGAAAGTTGATGTGTTTTCTTGACAGGAGATATTTTCAACATCAGTATATAAAGATGTACTGACCACAGTTGTTAAAGTATCAAGTATATATATGCTCTCATCTGTATTGTCTTAAAACAAGATTATTAAGAAATAGTTTTTTTTTTATTCCAACCTTTTTAGTTTTGCAACTTTTAAATTTTTTTTTTTTTGCTTTTTTTTTTTTTGATATTAAGATGACTTCTTTGGCCTGGTGACTTTTTATTAGAGGACCAGATAACGGTCTTATAATGTAATTACAATGATGGTACATCAAGCCACACATGCACCTTTTGAGTGCCTAATTTAAGTAGTCCACCCGAAGGTTCTACACTATCTGCCATACCTGCACTCCAACTAGGGGGGGTACTTATTTAAACCATCTGGTTATGACTACCCGCCATCACCCCTCTAACCCAGAGTATTACCTCACTATATGTAAGTAGATTTCGGCATCTACCCCATGTGGATTTCGCACCCTACCTTAGGACTTACTAACCACAATTAGATTTATCAATCCCTATCTTAAGACTAACTAACTATACATAGCTAATTTAAACCTAACAGAGAGGTACATGTCGCACATTTGTATTCACCTGCATGTTTCTATAACTTCTTTCTAATTAGTACATATTGACCTGCCATTCCGTATGAGTACCTTTTGGGGTGCTACCTTTCTACAGACATTTCTCAAGCACCAACCTTCCTAACTAGGCGCCCATTACGTACTCCTTGCCCTTATCTGGTTCACAACAAACCCCGATACCCACATTCAAACCATCTTCTTACCCAGATTCTTTATCGGTCCATCCCTTACTTCCAGCCAGCAACCTGGAAGGGTTGGTCTGCCTAGGCTTTAGGTATCTGAAGGATGCCCTCTCCTTGGTCCATACTTTCGAAGCGTATAACCTTTTTCTTCGGTGTGACAACTTGGCAGTTCGGCTGGTGTGTCCTCCACCATAGGATCTAGTTGCTCGGTTCTTTAATTTCGGGCCCTGGTTCGAATTCAGCCCTCCTGTGATACCGTCAAAGATCACTGCTACTTCCAGATTCAGGTCTTCCCAAATGGGTTTTCGGTTATGCCAGTTTCTTGGATTTATTGCACCAAAGCTTTCATTACTAGATGGTGTGACCGAAGTTACAGAATTTTTTTTTTTGCTAAATCAAGTAATAACATTAAGTTAATATTATTATTACTATTAATGTTATTAATACTTTCAGAATCTTGTACATTATTAGATATTTCATCTGTACCACTTTGATTGAGAGAACTTTTAACATCTACATAATTTGTGTTGCAACTTCTAATAGGAGGTTGAATGTTCTTTTTTTTGGTGGTAGATCATATCCTCTTGCTTTTGCTTCAATAGTCTTTTTTTTTTCTTGATTAACTTATAAATAAAGATCAATATATAGCCAATACTTATATAGAACTTAAAAAATTACATAACTATACTATTGCAATATGAAGTAAGCCAATCACAAAGAATGAAGTTAGCTTTAGAAACTAGAAATATCGAATTCGCCTTATTAAACTATAATAGATAATTGAGTATTATTTATTTATTTATTTATTTATTTTACTTTAATATAAAAATTTTAATCTTACTTCTTTCATTACTTTTTCTGCCTTCCCTTTTGGCTAGCAGGATAATAATATACCATGTAAAAACCAAGAAACTGCACAATTTTACAGATTATTTTATAATAAACATAAAATCAATTAAATATAAATAACAATAATGATAGTGTAACTATAAAAAACTTACTCTAAAATTCAAATATTGTTTTTTATTAAGTTTTAAAACTCATATCACTGTACATCTTTTTGATTTTTTTTGGGCTTCCTTGTAACTTTTATATTCACAAATTTTAATTGGATTTATTATAGACCCTTTTGAAAACTAAAAATTTATACATTAATTAATGCCAAATAAATAATCGCAAAAGAAAAAAGACAACAAAAAAAAATACCTGTTCATTAGTTATACCATGCACAGCACTACTTGAATCTATAAGTGATTTTGTAAAAGAAGGTTCAATAGCAATTAATACAGAATATAATCGATGGTGCTGCTCATTATTTAGTGCATTAGATAGAGTTAGGTTTACATCAAATAGTTCAAGAAAGAACTGCAATGTTGCTTAACATTAAAAGTATGAATATTAATTGAAAGGTTGTTTTGTAGTATTTTTATTAATTATAAATAGTAATTTTATTTTTTTTTATAATTGCAAAGGTGATTAGAAAGAAAAACAATAAAGGACAAATCTTATTTTAAATTATTTATATATCAGTTGTAAGTATTATTGATATTTTTTGTAATTACAAGAGTAATTTAAATATTTATTTTTAAGAATTAATCTAACTATAACTAGTGGTAATCATCACCAGAGTACCTATATTTCAAAAATGTACTAAGTAAATGGGATCAGGTTCTCTAAGTAAAAATGTTCAGGACCCCCAAAAACTTTATAAAAACTAAAATTAGGCCCTATTGGGCTCTTATAGTAGCTCTATATTATATTATATAAAAAAAAATTTTTTAACCCTAACCCTAAATATATCTAGGAGTGGTGATAATCACTATCGGTTATTTTGATTTTAATTCTATTTTTAAAATATGAAAAATTAACTTTTTTACTATTTTTTTTTGTGCAGCAAAGTTATTTTTAATACTGTCATAGTAAACAAGTATAAAAAAAAAAGAAAAAAAAAATTGTATAATTGACTTGAAGAATAAGAGAAATGAATAGATACGTGTTGTGTATATGTGACTATGTGACAATCGGAATCAAAACCATACATTTAAATAATTAATTAATAACACAAAAGTCAGTAGTGGCATGAAAAGTATGTAATAAATTTAAGAGTTAAATGAAGTTAATTAGTAATATAATAACAAAGTCAAAATTTGCATTTATAAGCAAAGTAAAGTTAGTGCCTTTTTTGTAATAATAGATCAAATAGAAAATAACATACTTATTCTTGACTGCGTGTTTAGTTTCTATCTACAGTACTTGTTAACTGTTTATGCTTACTATTTGGGTTAGATTTATTTAATATCAAAACACTAATTAATCTGAACAATACAGATGGATAATAAAGTTTTTTGTACATGTATTTAGTGTCTACAAGAGTCAAATAATCAAGGCAAATTAGTTAGCAGGCAACTCATACAAGGTATTCATTAAAACAAAGGAAAATTTAGCATAGTTCAACAGATATACCTGTTCAACAATGATATCTAGTCACGTCTATTTCTTTAGCAACTGTATCAACATTATCATCTAATATTCCGATAATGTTGTTATTATATAATAGTCAAGGTATAAATCAAAATTGCATAAATATAGAGTCGAATAATTTAGAAAGCTATGAAAATGCTATGGAAGAGATATTTAGTGAAAATAGTGAATAATTAGAGAGTGAAAGTAAATATAATGAGAAATATACTAAGGAAGATATCAAAGAGTATAATAAGAAAAATAGTGAAAATTATAATGAAGAGTTTGATGAAGAGTGTGAGAAAAATAATAAGGAATGTAATAATATATATAATGAGAAATATAATGAGGATAGCAATAAGGAATTTGATAATAAACATATAAATTTTGTTAAGCCTATTATTATTAAAACATACAATTTAATTTCAATACTTTTATATTACTTACTTGTTTTAAAATTATTTAAAGAATTTATTTAAAGGCTTACAACTTTTTTGAATTAAAAATAAGCATAATATTTCAGAGGCAGGGTTTAATAAAATTCTTAAAACTTTAGAAATTTCTGGAGTTACTCTTTATAAACTTCAAAAGCTTCTTGGAAACCTTGTACCTTTTAAGCCAACACTTGTAGATTGCTGTATTAATTTATATGTAGCATTTACTGGTGAACTTACTGATAAAAATTACTGTCCAGAATGTCATGAGCATCGTTACAAGTTTAGCAAAGCATCTAGAGTATTTAGGAAAAGTGCTGCCTACTGGTTAATTATAAGTTCATTTCAAAAACAATATAAAGATAAAGTGTAGGCTAAAGCTCTTCATTATTGACATAATTATACTTTAACACAAAAATATTTGGCTGATAACCAAATAGATGATATTTTTGATAGTCATCAATATAAATTCTTAGTTTCTTCTGGTTTTTTTTTTGACTGTCAAGATATTGCTCTAACGGCATCCACTGATGGATATCAAATCTTTATCAAAAACAAGATGATTGCTAGATTATTCTTCTTATAAATGCAAATCTACCAACTAATATACGTGTTTAACATGAAAACTTGATGATTTCTGTGCTTATCCCAGAACCAAAGGTGCTAAGAAATTTTAACTCTTTTTTGTGACTACTAGTTGACGAGTTAAAACAATTACAAGAAGATTTCTAGTGTTTTGATAGTGTAATAGAAGAAATCTTTATTTTTTGTGTACATGTTTTAAGTTGGTCTGGTGATATTCTAGCACTTGCTAAAGTTATATATACAACTGAACATAATTCTTATAAAGCTTGTCAATTTTGTTGATTTGTGAAGTATACTATAAAGAAAACTGGCATGTATACTGTCCACTCAAGCCTTCAAAGAATATACTAGACTGCAATATGATCCTAAAAGCCTTTTACTATGAACACATAATGATTATTTGTCAGATATTACCACTATAGAGTATTTAAATAGATTATCACAAAAATGTGAAATTCAGGAAAAAGGCAAGTTGTTTATTTTGTATATTTTATAAATATTAGAAATAATAAGTTTAACTATTTTTTAGGTATTAATGATCGAAGTATTTTGTTTGAACTTAAGTTGATTAAATTTCTAGATTCTTTTCCAGT